CGCGCCCAGTCGAACCGGTCGCGGCGCGGGAGCTGCCGAAGGCTTTTCGCGGACATGCGGGCATCCTAATCTTCTTATCCGGACATCGACCATCCCCCAGCAGAGCGCACGCGCGCGATTTCTTTCTTCATCTTCTCATGTTTGACCCTGCTAGCAGGTCCCCTCTGCAACTTTTTCGGACCTGCGCGACCTGGAGCAGCGCCCCCACCCTCGAACTTCCCCATTTCGTTGAAGATCCTCTCGGAAACCGAGACTGCATTCATTCCGTCCCCCTTCCCGGATTCCTGCCATTGCCAAGGCAGCCACTCGCGTGCCTTAACATCCGCGCCCACTTGGGCACTGGTCATCTCGCACAATACGATAGCCGATTTCATCCTCAGAACTGTTTCAATTTGCGCATTGCAATGTTCATGGATTGCCGCTGCCACTTCACGGGGGGGTGGAAGGCGCCCGTAAAGATCACAGCGCAAGGCCATCCATCCATTGCAGAGGTAATTCAGACCGTCAGCAGGCTTCTCCTCGCCAACGACAGCTTCGAAACAAATCTCGCACCACCGTGTCTCTGCCGGGCTCTGAGCGAACGGCGAGCCAGTGGCAGACCCAGCGCATCGCCCCGCGAGTGAGCGGGGCTCATCAGGCGCGCCACATTCCACGAGCGAAATCTGCGTGACAAGATGAAGCCGTCTCAGCGAAGTCCGCTGCAATCATCACATGTTCTTTCGTACCTCCCTGATTTCCGCAGGAGGCATGGATCCACGTCGGCATCTAGCGCTCGAGTGATCAAAGGCACTGTTCCTGCCACATCAAATAGGCTGACGCCATCACTCTCGCTGCAATGAGTTTCCACTCGCGAAGCCCACTCGCGTCGGAAATCGGCATTGACTTGATCTCCGAAGTCCCACCTATTTGCTCCCAAAACTCTACAGGATAAGCGACCGTCCACGACAGGTTTTGACTCCGCCACCCCCCCTCCGCCGCCGCCGTCGGGAATCCCCCCCCCCGCCGCCGCGCCCTCCAGCACGGCCGCTGGCAAGGGCGGCGGGCCGGGCGGCCCCGCGGGATCGCCCGGCGGATCAGGCGAGTGATCTTCGGATGGGTTGAAACTCGGGGAACGTCGATGCGTTGCGAAATTGTCGCTCTAATGTTCTTGAGCAGCATCACCAACATCTTTAAGAGCAGAAATTTCGGGCTCATCTTCCTTATATCGAAGCGATTTGCTTTCTCGAGCTCCTCTCGTTCTTTGCGTCTTGTTTATGAGAAACTCCTCTTGTTTCGTAATAAGCTTGGCCACGCGCGCGGGCTCTCACCACTGCTGAGAACACCAGCGCCTGCCCTCCTGACGCTCTCGCGCAGCTTCCGCTTCGGCTTCCGACATGTCCCAGGCGCATCGCTTGCGTCGCTTCGTCGCGGCGACAATGCGAGTATCGCAACATGGCAAAGAACACTGGGTACACTTGAAATTCCGTACATTCTGGCAGAAGTGGCACATCTGTGCACCCCCTGGGGCTACAGCGACACGCAGCTGCGGCTTCCTCTCCAGGGCCCGGTCCGTTGAACTTTCTAGCCTTCAAGGCTGAGCCTCGAACGCCAGTCCACTCGACCTACCACTACCAGACGAGCCAGATCTCGCTTGTGTCTTAGCAGCGAATGGAAGTATAGCGGGGTCGGCCTGCACAAACGACTGAGTCCGCGGCGCAGACACCACCACTTCACCGTTTGACTTGATAGCGACACGAACTTCCCGAAGAACAACCAACTCATTATGTATTCTTCTCTGTCTCGCAAGGTCCTCATTAACCGTTTTCATTTCTGCCTCTAACTGAGGACAGTGCGCTTGTTGCGCGACCGCAATTGCCTCAACTGTCTTGCCTGGTCAGTAGCGGTGCGTTCTCGAAGGTTCGCTTGTTGCGCGACTGCCATTGCCTCTTCATTCGCATGACGGACAAGGGCGGCCGATTGTTCGGCCCTCGTCTGCATCGCTTCTTCCGCTGACCGATGAGAAAGAACTTCTTGCCTCCACCTCCACCTTTTGCAAAAGTTGATACAGATGTGCTTCCTTGGCAACCATTCCCCCGCTTCTCGGTTTCCTCTGCCTGATATATTATGCTGTGCTAGCTCTTCCAACTCCTTCCTTTGTTTCTCCGCTTCCACCCGAGTCAACTGAGCTGTTTCCGGCGTTGCCTGCTGACTTAAATGAGCCCGTTGCGCCGCGCGCAGAAAAGTTTCCTCCCCGTTAAGAATCATCAAGATTTGCTCATTCTTCTGAGCCTTCATCACACGGATTTGCGCGGCCAGTTCCTCGCGAAGTGTCTTTTCATTGCATTGCCTTTTCTGTGCCTCGGCCCGTTGCCATTCTAAGAAAGCGAAACGAAGGCCACTGTGCTCTTTCATGTCCATTCATTCAGAACAAAGCCAACTGAGATGGCACAGCTGGCATGCGCGTGAGCAGCCTCCGCACACGGGTCGATGACACGGACCATGTATGCCACGTGCCTTTCCTGGGCTTCCGTGGTCCGCAGACGGACAACATCGACGCCCTCTGGCCCAACAACACATTTCCAACGAAAGGCCGCCGGATGACGATCCACAAGATCCTTGACTACTCCCAGACCTGGTACGCATTCTGGATGCTAGCGACGATCTAGATACGGATCTCCTAACGACATAAGGCGAGGGCAACGCTGGGTTCAGGGCATCGCTGGAACCGCACTCCCAGCTGGACACTGCTGATCATCGACTAGGTCCGCTGCAGAAGTGGAATCTGCAAGTGAAAATCATGCTCCATGCTTGCGTCCCCAAGCACCTTCGGGCGCGTTGCCCCTGGCGTCTCTCACGTGCTGTCCACTGCGTGATCTGTCTGGTATACGACCAAAGTTTTCTTACTCTTGATAAACGAGATGTCAGAGCTCAGATCTTCATCTTCCAAGATAGCCGACAGTTCACGGTCCAGGTCCGTTTCGCCCATTGCTGGTTGAACCAGCAGCAGTTCACAATCTTCCGTCGGAACAAACGGACCATCAAGCAACGAGATGACAGGAACACCCTAAGGGATGTGACCTAATGCATTAGTGTGCGGGAAATTCGGCTGATCTTGCCCAGTCGGAACATGAATACTGATATCATCGACTGCGGCCATCCACATGTCCGCTCAATCATTCGATCTTTCGGCGGATAACCAATCATCCCCAAAGGAAATGATTTCCGGCGATGTTGGGGTGCAACGATGATATTAACACATGGGTCCTATCGTCCGTGATCGGTAGATCCGACATGCTTCACAATGTTCAATAGCACATTGAGCTGATATGCGAAGACAAGGCAGGGAGCAAAGGAGGCGAGAACGACGACGGAGCGACGATCCCGATCCTACCTTTCCCTTAAACCCAAACAGCTGCATCAGGGGAAGGGTGCGAGAGGGCGGCAGGGAGCGAGCAGGGAGAGAAGAGTAACAACTCAACGGCGCACTTGCATGCCAGGGGGAGGCTTGCAGCGCAGACGGCACAGCATCTCTGTGCACACGCTCGGTCGCGACACGGCTCTGCGGACAGAACAAAGCATGGCGCAACGAGACATTTCAACCTTCTTCGCGGCACGGTACAACGCACCAAGAGGCCGCACGGCAGAACAGAGAATCTGAGGGCCAGTCCTGGCACCTTGGCATGCTGCCGTTTCCTGCCCCTCTTTGCCGCTTGATGATCATTTACTGGTGCTCAAGTGTGCTGGTTGATGTTGTTTGCCCCTGTGCGCCGGCACTTGCTAGCTTGCTACCGCTGGCTGATTATGCTTGCTAATGCCTGCCTGCAGAGGCCTGCTGCTGATGATGCGTGATGCTGCTGATGGTTGCTTCTGCTTCACGCTGGTGCTGCGCGCTGCTGCTTGCAACTGATTCGTGCCGTTCTTGCTGCTTGCTGATGTCAGTTGGTCCCATTTGCTGCTGCTGGCTCCTGCAGCTACATGCTGTTTCTGCTCGCTGCTGGAAGCTGCTCGTCCTAGGGTACCCTGGTGCCTCTCATGCAGAGGCCTCCGAGATGGGGTCTGGGTAAAGAATGCGTCGGTGGATCGCGCCGCATCGCCAATGCATCGCCGATGCATCGGCGATGCATCCGCGACGTCGGCGATGCATCGCCGCCGTCGGCGTGGAGAAATTCTGGCTCCACAACGAGCCGCATCGTGTCGATGCATCGGTGATACGGAGCGGCTATCCGACCCCATCTGCACCGCGGAGGACGAGGACGAAGACGAGGACGAGGACGAGGACGACCAGGAGGGGACAAAGAGGCCCAGATCTCCGACGATGCGTGTGCTCTTTCAATCCAGGCGTCTATCCTCGACGTCGGCCCCTGGGGCCCATCATCGGGCCCGTGGGCAGGAGGACGCAGTACCTCGGCCCGGAGGCCGTCCCAAGACGGGCCATCCATAAACGAACCAGTGAATCAGTGACGAGGAGGACGAGGAGGAACAACCGATGTCGCTGCCCTTCCTCGTTCTCACCGTCTTCGGCCTTTTGGGGGGTCCTCGTCGCCACGGATGGACTCGCCTCGAAGTCCCAGTCAGAACGGGCCACTGGAACGTGAGGCCTCCCAGGGGGGGTCTCCCGGGGGCCGTCCAAAAGGCCTCTTGGACCGTCCGCGGCCGCCGCGGGGGCGAGACCCCGGCCTCCACGGACAGCACGCCTCGGGATGCAGAGGCCCTCCGCAGACGCTGCCAGGGAGGCTGCGTGCCGCGAGCGCGGCGGGGAGCCCCCCCCTTAAGGAGGAGGAGGAGGAGGAGGAGGAGGAGGAGGAGGAGGAGGACAAGGAACAGGAGGAGGGGGAGCAGGATAAGATGGAGCAGGAAGGGCCCCCTGTCCAGCCACTCGGGGGCTTAGCGAAGCCCTGGAGACTGCTCCGGGATGCGCCGGGGGCTTTTTCTGGGCTCCGTCGGCTATCTGGAGGCCCCGAGAAGCCACGCTTCGCGGCGGACCCTTCCTGCACACGCGGGAACCGGCAGAGCAGGAAAGCTGACAGTGGGCTCCAGCTTCGCCTGCCAGGTGTCGCTGAGCAGCGCCCGCGCCCACTGCCACTGCCCGCCTTTTTCGCACGCGCTGATCCCAGTGCTGCAGCTGATGACTAGGGCTGACCCATGGACGACGTCGACAAAATCTGCACGAACTGGCATGTGATTGCGGACATGATGCCGAAAGGCTGCAATGATACCGCGGGGCTCGGCCCTCACATTCCGCATATACTGCGCGGTGCTGCTTGCTGCCGCTGCTGCGTGCTGCTGCTAGTCCTTGCCGCTGTTGCGTGCTCTTGCTGCTCCTGGCTGCGCGAATGGCAAGTTCTGCATGGTGTGTGCTGCTGCCCGCTGCCTTCCACTGGTTGCTCTTGCTGTGTGCCGCCGCTGCTGCTGTCTGCTTCGTGCTGCGTGCTGCTGCCATTCGCTGCTGCTGCTGCTTCACGCTACAGGACAAATATTCTTGCTACTTCAGCTTGCCGGCGCAACCTGATGCCAAGAGAGGACCAGGGGAGTCAGGGTCGAGGAGGTCGAGGAGGGACAGGACAGAAGCGAGGAGCGATCTGCGAAAAGCCAGGAAGAAGGGAGGAGCGACGGCCGAGGATGAAGGGACGAAGAGGGAGGAGGGAGAGCCGAGGAGGAGGCGGCAGGGGGGGGGGGGACCTCTGGGGGTCTCTCGGGGCCTCGTGAGGGGAGGCTTCTCGGGATATCTCTCTGGAGCCTCTTGGGGGTCTTCTGGGGCGCTTCCGCATCTCCTGGAGCCATCTGGGCAGCACTTCGGTCTACTGACAGCTCTTTTGGTGGTGTCCAGGGACGTTCATGCCGTGGGGCCATCTTGGTGCGTTCCTGTGCCGCCTTGGGCCAGTCTTGGGGCCATACTGGCGCACTCTTGGACTTTTGGGCCATGTTGGAAACCTGTTGTGCCGCTTTGGGGCTCCCTCGGGGGCCTATCAGGTGATTGGGGCCTCTCGTGCCATCCTCGGCCCCCTGGGGGCCTTCTTGGGATGTGTTGAAGCTCTGGGGGGCCGTCTTGGGCGGTTTCTCTTGGGGCCCTTTCAAGGCCATTCTGGAGTGCCCCATGAGGACCCGAGAGATCGCGCTGGGGCCGACCGGCCCGATCTGAAGGGACTTGGGCGCCCAGCGTTCCTGCACCCAGCGCCCCGCGCCTTAGAACAGACAGACTAGGATCCAAGCCGCATGCGGAAACCCACAGCATGCAGGTGCAGCAGGCGTTAGGGCGAGAGGGGCCACTTCGAGCAGCCCTGTCTTGGGCAAGACTTCTCCGAGAGGGGGCGGGATCGCAATTTCTCAACCTGCGAGGGGCGGGGAAGACCGCGGGGAGGAGCCCCGAGAGGCAAAGCCCTGACGGAGGAAGAAGCCCTGTCCGCGCCTGCAGGTGCAAGCGGCAGACCGTAGAATCGAGAAAGCTCGGAGAAGTTCGAAGAACGTCGAGCAGATATACGGTTTTCCTTGTGCTGGGTAGTGGGCCTCGTGGGGCCCTCTTGGGGCCGCCCGGGTGCCATGGGTCTCCTGGGGTCCTCTTGGCTCGTCATAGGGGCCCTCTTTGGGGCTCCTTGGGCTCCCCTGGCCCAGGCATCCTGGAGCCATCCGGGCGGCCTTTGGGGCCACCCAGGGCTGCTTTTGGGGGAGAGGAGGAGACCCTTTGTTTGTATGATTACAACAAAGCTATTGTGATGGGTTTCCTCGTGACCTGCACGTCCACAGGTCATTGCGCTTATTCATGGTGCGTGTATCGATTCATGGACGGATTACCAATTAATTTCATGCGTGGGGATTTACAACTTGAATGTGATTGTGGAGCGTTTCAAGTTGATTTAAAGTGTGAGGTTTATACCTTGCATTTGATTGTTGGGTGTTTTCCCAAATCGATGTTATGTGTGGGGCATTTTAGTGGCTTGCCGTGGGGCCGCGGAAGCTTACCATGAAAACCGGAAAAACATTACCCAGGGACGTACACAACCCTTTCTACACATGAGGCGAGTATACATCGTATCGCTCGATACAATGGCGAGCACTGAAGGATCCGCCGTGTCCTTGAACGATTCGCCAGAACACGTCGGGCCAGAGTCACATGTTCACATATGCGGCGTCGCTCTTAAGAGTCAGATCGTTGGCAGGAAGACGGTCACGAGGGAGTGTGGAAACACAGAAAGGAGAGACGATTGGAGACATAATTCGTGGGAGCAGCGCCGCTGGAACCCCCAACGTCGCAACCTAGCACCCCAGGGGGCGGAGAAGTCTCACGGTGATCTGCGTAGGACGCACCTCCGCTGGGCCTCCCAGGAGCACACGAAAGTGGCGACAGTCTCGCAGATCACAGCCCCCCAGGGGACGGCGAGGTCTCGTGGTGATCTGCGTAAGACGCACCTCCGCTGGGGTTCCCAAGAGCCCGCGAAGGTGGCGACGGACTCGCAGATCGCGGACCCCAGGGAACGGCGAGGTCTCGTGGTGATCTGCGTGGGACGTACCTCCGCTCGCCCTCCCAGGAGACCACGAAAGTGGCGACGGACTCGCAGATCGCAGCCCCCCTGGGGACGGCGAGGTCCCGGTGTGATCTGCGTGGGCCGCACCTCCGCTGGCCCTCCCAGGAGACCACGAAAGCGTCGACAGCTTCGCAGATCGCAGCCCCCCTGGGGACGGCGAGGTCCCGATGTGATCTGCGTGGGCCGCACCTCCGCTGGCCCTCCCAGGAGCACACGAAAGTGGCGACAATGTCGCAGATTGACGCCACACCAGGGGACGGCGAGGTGCGTTCTGGCCAGATTTCCGAGGCGACTGCAGCAGAGAGCAGCGGTTGCGGCAGCTTTTCCTCTTCTAGCGATCCCTCCCCCACTGCCGGTCAACGGCGGGGACCATAACCCGACACCCGACCCGAGGTTAGCATGGGGGAAACTGGTTCACGTCGCGATGGCGTCGACATCGGTTTCTGTCACCGCGTGGCTAGATTAACCTTGAACGATCGCGGCTTTCCAACATCGCCGATCTATCGATATCGGCCGATACCAGACCGCTGGCGCCGTTCAAGCTTGAACGCCCGAGCTGGCGTCGCCGCACCGTCAGCGCGGCGCGAACCTGCAGTACGGTGCAGGTGGCGTCGGGCTCCAGCATCTTCTCCCGAATCTCGCCGAGCAGCGAGATCGCCTGCCCCCACTGCCCAGCCTGCTTGCACGCGCTGATCCCAGCGTTGCAGCTGATGCGGTTGGGCTGCAGCTTCGCCTCCCATATCTCGCTGAGCAGCGCCAGAGCTAGCTGCCACTGCCCGCCTGTCTCGCATGCGTTAATCCCAGCACTATAGCTGATTAGTGCAGACCCATAGGTTAACACATCCACGAGAAGCATGATCATCACGACTCTGCAAATCCTTCCCCACCACATCTCTAACCCTGAAACAAAACTATTGATATTGCATTGCCTTGCCTACGGCGGTCTCACCAAAATCCACATCGCACTACTCTATGATGACTCGGACAATTAAGAACTGCAGTCACTCATGAGGACGAGAGTGAGACTAAGGTGCCCCAGCGCCGCGTTAAGGTGTGAAAGTTATGACTCTAGGACACTCCAAACAGTAATTGGCGAGATGGAGCTTGCTCCAGTTTTCCCATCCCACGAGAACGCCACGTGTGCCCCCCGATAGGAGTCGCTGCTGCAATCGGCTGCTTGCTGACCTTACTTGCTGCTGGTGTTTTCTTACCGTTTTTGCTGCTGCTGCTGCTGTTGCTGCTGCTGCTAGACCTGCTGCTGCTGGATTTGCTGCTGGATCTACTATTCCTGGCAATATTGCTGCAGGGTATCGGGACACTTCCATCACGTCTTGGGGCCTCCTGGGCCGTCTTGGCGCGTCTTGGGGTCCTCTTCAAGCCTCCTGGGACTCCACGGACGCCCCCTGGGCTGGATGGGGGCTGTCTGTGACCGACTTGGGCCGCAATGTGGACATATTGGGCCACTGCTGCTCTTTACCGCGGATGCTTGGTCTCTTGCTGCTGGCTGTGCTGCTGCTGCTGCTGCTGCTGCTGCTGCTGCTGCTGCTGCTGTTGCTGCTGCTGCCGACGAGCCTCGGAGCACAAGCGGAACGTGCTGGGTGCCTCTAGGACGTCTTGGGGCCGTGCCTGGACCTCCTGGACCGGATGGGCCAGCTGGGGCCCCAGCAACTGGGACGCCTCGTGGGGTCCCGGGCCGTGGCCGGAGGTCCGCTTGGGCCGTCTCGGCTGTCTTTGGGTTTTTGTTAAGGGCCGCCTGGAGCCCGACTCGGCGGCAGGAGCTACGAGGAGCAGGCGGCACAAGGCTCAAGGCGCTCGAGACGCTCCGAGGATGCCCAGATCGGGCTGCAGCCGCCAGCCCCTCTGGCCAGAACGGCCCCCAGACTGCAGAGGAGATGATGTCGGGCTCCAGCTTCTTCGCCCGAATCTCGCTGAGTAGCGACATCGCCCACCCCCACTGCCCAGCCTGCTTGCACGCGCTGATCCCAGCGTTGCAGCTGATGACGCTGGGCTCCAGCTTCGCCTCCAATGTCTCGCTGAGCAGCGCCAGAGCTAGCTGCCACTGCCCGCCTTTCCCGCACGCGCTGATCCCAGCGCTGTAGCTGACTAGCGCCGACCCGTGGATCTTACGTCCATAACAGCTGACTCGCATGCAAGGATGAAAAAAACTGGCCTGCTTGCCTACTGGCCAAACGACTCTCTCACCGACGTTCCAGCTTGCATGCGAGCCAGCGTGTTCATGCAAGTTGCAGGCTTGCCTGCAGCTTGCTTCATCGTTTGCTTGCCGGTTCGCTGCCGCTCTCTGCCGCTTGCTGTTGTTTGTCCGCTGTGATGGTGGTGGTGCTGCTATTTGGAGGTTATGCTGCTACTCCTGTTTGCTGATGCGGGCTGTTGCTTGCTGCGGCTTGCTGCTGATGCTTACTGTTTTGCGCTGGTGCTGTCAATGTGTGCTTCCGCTGCTTGTTGTGTCTTGCCGCTACTGACATTTTGACTGATGCTGTGTGCCGCTAGTAGTTTGATGTTAGTCGCCACGTGAGTTTGCGCTACCTGTCGTAACGGCGCCAGCCGGGATGCCGCCAAGAGACAGAAACCACGGCTTCAAGAAGAACATATGTCCTGCGAACGTGGCCGAAACTCGGGCTGGAGGAGGGGCAAGAGGAGGGGCAGGGCGAGCAGGCCACGGAGGTCATCATCCCCCGTCTGCCTGTCAGTCTGGGCGCCCTCATGACCATGGCAGTGTGCGCGCAGGAGTAGGGGAAGGGAGGAGGGAAAGCGAAAAGAATTCGCAAGGCCCGAACTGAGGTTAACAAGATGTCCCCCCCTGGACTCCGGGAGGTTATACCCGTACCAGCTGGGCTGGCCTTAACGACCACGCCAATAAATCAAACGCAACATAATGCAGTAATGTTGAAAGAGGAGGAGGAGGAGGAGGAGGAGGAGGAGGAGGAGGAGGGAGAAAGGACGAGACAGCGCGCCTCGCCCGTGCCTAATTCGCACGGGTGTCCCTCGCGAGCCCTGGGGCCGGAAGGGGCGGCATATTCAAACACAGCACTTATTCAGATCTTGGAGAGGCGGCGGCGGAAGCGGCAACGCGGAAGGAAGGGAGCAAGGGACGGGGGGGGGACGGGTAAGCAGGACAGTCCAGCTAGGTCACGGCCGCGGCGGCCAGCGGGCACCCGCGTGCGCAGTCGCTACTGCGCGCGCGGCGGGGTGCTCGCGCGGACCACCGCCGCCTGACCCAGAGCTGAAGCGGAGAGGGGCGCAGCCGATTCTGCGTGCCGCCACCGACAGTGCACTCTGTGCACGGCTGCCGTGTGGACCGCCATGCGGACGAGGCTTCTCCGGGTGAGGCACTGCGGCGGTGCTGCTTGCCGCCAATTGGGCTTGCCTGCTTGCCTGCTTGCGCGGCTGCACGCCTCACGGCCTGGCTGCTGGCTTACCTGCTGGCCCACTTCTGTGCTGGCCTGATGGCTTGAATGGGTACATGCTTGCTTCATTGTGTGTTCATCCCCTCGCTGCCGCTCACTGCAGCTTGCTGCTGCTTAGTAGTGATTGCGTCTGTTTGTCAATGCTTGCTGCGTCTTGCCGTTTTTGCCGCCTGCTGTAGACGTGTGCGGCCTGCTGCTTGCTAAGGCTTGGTGCGGATGTTTGCTGCTGCGTGTGCTGGTTGTTGCTGTTTACCTGCTGCCGCTTGCTGCATGCTGCTGCTTGGTGCTGGTGATGAGCACGTGTGATGCTGCTCTGCTTCTGCTGCTGCCGTTCGCCGCCGCTGCCTTGCTGGCGCGGACATGCTGTTGCCTGCCTGTGCTGCTCGCCAGTACTGCCTGCTGCTGTTGGTTGCTGCTGCTGCCTGCTAGTGCAGCACGCTGGTATGACCTGCCAGTGCTGCTGCTGCTTACGACTGGTGCCTTCTCCTGGGCTCCGCTGCTACTTGCGCTGCCGCTTGCGCTGCTCAGGGCCGCCGCTGCTGGATTTGCTGCATGCTGGGCATAGGGGGGCCCAGCTGGACCACACTGGGGCCGTCCTGGTGGCGTCTTCACATCCTCTCGGAGCCGTCCTGGGCCCCGCCTCGGGGCTCCTCGGGAGCCCCTGGGGCCGTGGCGGCGCCCCCCGGAGGCCCCCGTTGGGCCGCTCGCGGGTTCCCCGAGGCCGCCTTAGGGGGCCGCCTGCGCCTCTCCCGCTGCTCTCTTGGCGCCGTCTTGGACCGTCTTGGGAGCCCTTGTGGAGCGCACGGGGGCCGCCTGCTCGGAAGCCAGTTGAGGCACTGCGGATTGAGGCGGGCACCATGAAGCATCGAGACGGGTGGGCTGGGGACGGCGTCTCTGGCCTGCGGCCTCTCTCGGACCTGCTTGGGAGGGTTTCGCCCGCGTCTTGGCGCCACTGGGGAGGCTATCGGGCGTGGGCACGGAGCGCCCGAGGTCGGCTCGGGACTGAGGGGGGGAGATCTGGAAGGCGTTTTCGCGCCCAGGAGAGCGTTCCCCCCGAGCGGAGCCGCCGAAGACAGGCCAGAACGACCTGAACAATCTCACATTCTCGCACCCAGGGGCTGCCCGGTATTGTATGTATAGATGACATCTGGCTCCAACGTTTTCTGCCGAATGTCGTTGAACAATGACATCGCCTGCTCCCACTGCCTGGCTTTCTCGCACGCGCTGATCACAGAGTTGCAGCTGATGACGCTGGGCTCCAATTTCGAATCCCACATCTCTCTGAACAACGCCACCGCTCGCTGCCACTGCCCGCCTTTCACGCACGCGCTGATCCCAGCGTTGTAGCTGACTAGGGCTGACCCGCGGCCTCCGGCCGCGGAATTTGCCCGCCCTGGCGTGGACGTGGAAGTGGAGCGTCTCTGGGGCCTCGCGGGTAAGGGGAGGTTGAAAAGGACGGCGTGGATGGAGGAGGTGGCCGCTGGAGAGGGAGGTGGGCGAGGGATACAGGCAAGCAGGCCTGAAGGCAGGAACGCGGTGGTGGAGGCGGTGTCAGTGGAAGCACACCCATGTAGGCATGACATGGTGTGGACAGAAGCTGTTTCTGACGCCGCAGTCTGTGTTCATCATAGCTTCTGCGGGGAAGGTAGCCGTGAGAAGGTTATCTGCTCTTCGACGGGGCCGAATGATAATTTCATCTGGCAGTGTGGTCACAATGAGGCCAGTGGGCGCGGCCTAGGAGGCCCGCAAGAGGGCGGCGAGACGGAACTCCTCAAAAAGGGCCCCAGTGCGAGGACACGAATCGGCTTCTCGAGCGCACCTCCCCAAGACGTCCCCAAATAGCGCAGAGATGGCTCCCAGAGGGTCCAAGAAGCCTCCACAACGATGCTGGAAGTTCGACGCTCCCCAAGAGAGAGAAGCATCCAAGGCCTCTCGGGGGCCGCTTGTGGGCCTCTTTTCGTCTTCCTGGGGGTGGGTCTCTCGGAGACCTCTTTGGCAGTCTTGAGTGCATATTGGGCCGTCTCGGGGCGATGTGGGACCGTCTTGGGCGCCTCTCGGACCATCTTGGGACAGTCTTGGGGCCATCTTGGGCCAATACTGGGCGCTACTGGGGCTGTCTTTGGTGTTTCTTGAGCCGTCTCGGGCGCCTCTGGAGCCGTCCAGGACGGCCCAAAGACCGTCTTGGAGACTGTCCAAACGGAAAGGCTTGGAGACGGGGCGGCGGGGGCCTCTACAGCCGTCTTGGAGACGGGGCGGTGGAGCCGTCTTGGGCCATTATTAGCTGTTCTTGGGGCTGTCTTGGGTGCGTCTTGGGCCGTCTCGGGCGCCTCTGGAGCCGTCCCAGGGCAGTGTGTGGCCCTTTGGGCGCCCTCATGGGGGCGTCTGGGCGCGTCTTGGGGCGAGCTGGGGGGCCTGTATAGCCTTCTGGACGCTGCGAGGACGAAAAAGCAAGATAGATTGAAAAAGTGCGTTTCCCGCCGGGGATGGAACGGTTTGGGCCTCTTGGGGCTCTCCTGGAGGCCCTCCTGGGCCGTCTTGGGAGCCTCCTGGCCTGCCTTGGGGGCCTCTGGGACTGTCGTGGGGCTCCCAAGGGTGCTCTGAGGTCGTCTTGGCGCCCCCTGGAGCCTCTTGGAGCTGTCCCGTTGGCCATTCTTGGCTGCTCTTGGGGCTGTCTTGGGTGCGTCCTGGGCCCCTCTGGAGCCGTCCCGGGGCCGTGTGGGGCCCTTTGGGGGCCTCTGGGCGCGTCTTGGGGCGAGGTGGAGGGCCTCTGTAGCCGTTTTGGACGCTGCGAGGACGAAAAAACGGAACATAGCGAAAAGGTGCGTTTCCCCGAGGGCATTGGACGATTTGGGCCTCTTGGGGCTCTCCTGGGGGCCCTCCTGGGCCGTCTTGGGAGCCTCCTGGCCTGCCTTGGGAGCCTCTGGGGCTGCCTTGGGGCTCCCAAGGGTGCTCTGAGGGCGTCCTGGCGCCCCCTGGAGCCTCTCGGAGCCGTCCCGTTGGCCATTCTTGGCTGCTCTTGGGGCTGCCTTGGGTGTGTCCTGGGCCGTCGGGGGCGTGTGGCGTCTTGGGGCGATCGGGAAGGCCTGCATAGCCGTCTTGGACGCGGTGAAGACAAAAAGAGCGAGCATATACAAAACGCACGTTTTCCGAAGCGAATGGAGCAATTTGTGCCTCTTGGGTCTCTCCTGGGGGTCCTGGCTTGGGGTCCTGGCTTGGGGTCCTCTGGGGGGCCGGCTTGGCCGGCTCTTGGGCCATCTTGGGGCGCTTGGAGGCCTGGTGGGCGGTCCTGGGGCGGTCTTGTGGGTGTCGTCGGCCGTCTTGGAGCGTCGGCCAGCCGAGAAGGCGAGAAGGCAAAACTCTTTGAAAAACCACGGAGAAATGAAGGATTTGGGCCTCTGGGGGCATGTGTCGGGGTACTGTTGGAGGCTCTTGGCGGCCTCTTGGGGGGGCCTTGGGGCCTTGTGTGGGCGTATGGGGGCCCAGGACTCGGAGTGTCAGGGTTTTTCCCCATGCTTTGGCCCCCTCTTGGGCCTGGCTTGGGGTCCTCTGGGGCCGTCTTGGGCGCCTCTTGGGCCATCTTGGGGCTCCCTGAGCCGTCTGGGGACGCGCTTGGAGGCCTCTTGGGCCGTCCTGGCGCGGTCTTGTGGGTCTCTCCGGCCGTCGTGGAGCGTCGGCTAGCCGAGAAGGCGAGCAGGCAAAATTCCATCCAAAACCGTCGTAAAATGCAGGATTTTGGCCTCTGGGGACATGCTTCGGAGAACTGTTGGAGGCTCTCGGAGGCCTCTTGGGGGGGCCTTGGAGCCTTGTGCGGTCGTATGGGGCCCGTATGGGGGCCCAGGACTCGGAGTGTCAGGGTTTGTCCCCGTGCTTTGGCCCCCTCTTGGGCCTGGCTTGGGGTCCTCCAGGGCCGTCTCGGGCGCCTCTTTGGCCATCTTGGGGCTCTCCGGGCCGTCTGGGGGCGCGCTTGGAGGCCTCTTGGGCCGTCCTGGGGCGGTCTTGTGGGTCTATTCGGCCGGCTTGGAGCGTCGGCTAGCCGAGAAGGTGAGCAGGCAAAACTCCTTCAAAAACCATTGAAAAATGCGGGATTCTGGCCTCTGGGGACATGCTTCGGAGAACTGTTGGAGGCTCTTGGAGGCCTCTAGAGCCTTGGTAGGGTCCTCTAGGGGGCCTCGTGGGCCTTGTTGGGGGCATCTAGGGGGCCTCGTGGACGCTCCTTGGAGCCTCTGATGGCCACTGCGGCGCGACTTTGGGGGTAGGGCTCGATTTGTGACGCTCGGGGGCCAGGATCTGCGTGACGGGTGTCGAAGAATTGCCACAATGGCCCTCGAGGGAGCAGAAAGTGCACGCCTTTTTCGCACGCGCTTCCGTCTGCCATAGAGAAGAGAGAAGACTCGGGCTGACTAGCAGACAACCGTCCACGACCGCTCAATCGCATGCAAGGGTGAGGATACTTCCCTGCTCGCCTGCTGTCCTGCTTGCATGGATACGAGCCTGGTGGCCTGATAGTTGTTGGAATCAACGCCCGCTTTCTATGTTGCTTGCTTCGTTAATGCCCATGCGCTCGCGGCCGATTCCTGCCGCTTGCTGATGACTGGAACTGCGTACTGCATCGTTGTACATGCTGCTGTTTCTCGCCGATACGGGGTGGTACTGGCCGCAGCATGCTACTACTGAAAGTGGCCTTGGTGGTCCTGCGTGTTGTTGGTTGTTGTCGATGGTGGATAATGTGCGTCTACAACTGCGTGCTGCCGCTTGCTGCCGCTGTGCTGCTGGTTACGCTGGCCGCTGCTGCTTGACTGCTTGCCGTTGCTGCTCATGACTGACAGGAGAGATGCTGGTTCCCATCTCAGCTTGTCCTGTGCTACTCTCTGCTGCTTGCTGTTGAAGCGTGTTGCCACTACTGCTGCTTCAGTCGTGCTGCGCGCTGCTACTCCTGCCTCCTGGCGCAACCTGATGCTCGTGAGCGGATCGTCGAGCGAGGAGCGAGCAGCGAGGAGCGAGGCGTCTGGATCGAAGGGGGAGGGAGCAGCGAGGAACGAGGAGCGAGAAGGGAGGAGCGCCGGCCGAGGGGCGAGAGGCGAGGAGGGAAGGTGGAGAGCCGAAGATGGCGGAGAGGGGAGGGGGGGTGCGAGCAGCCACGAGAAAAAGGGGCGGGGGGCCAGGAGGGATGGTCGAGGAGCGAGGAGCAGTGAGAAGAGAGGAGCCAGGGAGCGAGGAGCGTGGAGCGAGCAAGGGGCGAGAAGCAAGGAGGGAGGGGGGAGGCTTGATCCCCCAATGGCCTCGACTCGCATAGCCGTGGTATCACGTTGGGTGGCTCATGGGCCCATGGGGCCATCTTAGGGCCCATTGGGGGCCTTCTTGGGGCCTTCTTTGGGGCTTCTTGGGCTCACTTGAGGCTCTCTTGGCCCTCCTGAAACAATACTATGGTGGTCATCCCTTGGGACCTGTGGGTGCTGATTTTAGAAAGGTCCTGAGGCCGTCGGTGGGCGCCTTGAGCCATCTTGGGGCGGTCTTGGGCTGTGTTGGAGGTCTTGGGGCCATCTTGGAAGCCAGCGAGGCCCATCTTGAGCTGTTTGGGGGGCGTCACGGGCTCTCTGGAGAGGTCCTGCAAGCCTCTGGGGCTCGCTTGGAAGCCTCTGGGGCCCCTCTTTGAGCCACACGGCCGCATCCAGAGGCCGAAGGGACTGACTGGGACCGCGTCGGAGGGTTCAGGGGCCCCGGTGGAGGCCCAGTGGAGGTTCCTGGGGGCTCTGGGAGCTGATCCGAAGACTCACTCGATGCACAAACCGTTCTCGCACGCACAGGGTCTTGCAGAGCGAAGGAAAAGACTTGGACTGACTCGCGCACTGCTGTTCGCGAACACGAGCTCGCACGACAAAGTGAGATTTGCAACGCGCACAGCACGTCGTCTCGCATCAATGGGCAAGCTCGGTGGCGGCACAGCTCGGCGGATACAGCGCAGCATGGCGCAACGAAACAAATGAGAGGACAGGCTTGTTCGCGACACTGCGCGGCGTGCGGCAAACGCAGCGCAGCACGGCAGATCACAGCATCTGAGAGGCAGTCCCAGCCCCTAGGCATACTTTCGCTGGCTGCCGCGTGGTGCTGCTTGCTGCTGCTCCGTGCAGCTTGATGCTGCTTGCTGTTGCTTGCTGATGCTGGCTGCTAATGGTTGCTGTTACGTCCTGCCGTGCACTGCTGTTTGCTGCAGGGTTATGATGCTACTTGTTGCAGCTTGCGTGCTGAGTTTGGTGTTGTGTTTGCTGATTCGTGCTGCTGCTGTTGCTGCTGATACTGACAGCTGCTGCGCTCTGTTGCCTGCGTGCTGCTGCTGCCTGCTGCTGTATGCTG